ATTTTATCTGAGAGAGCCAGACGCAATCATCTAAAGAGCCACACCTGGCTCGAGAGCCATAGGTTGCCGACCCCGGAGCTAGACAGTGTAAGACAAACAAAAATCGATCAGACCAAGGTCGACTAGTCTGGCCAGTCATTTGAGACTCTGGTCAGTAACTGACATTAAACGCTTTAAGAATGTAGAGCTGACTACGCGCATCAACCAAGTCCCGCTGAGAGCAACTTCAATTTTGTCAGGTTTTCAACCGAAGCTAATTGGATAGTGACAACCTTCCGGGCAACCACTCTAGCTGGGATGCCATGCCTTATTGATAACTGCTTACCCCTTTTGGTCTCCGAACAAGGGACGGAAGAAGAAGACAGAAAGAAAGAAAGAAAAATAGGTGGACGGAAAACCCTTTTGGCTCGGTAGGTGTGGTTTGATAGCAAGGTAGGAGGCTAAAAGGCTAGAGAAAAAAAGGGTGCAAATTTTACCTGCAAAGCAGGCGAGATGTTCCATCGAGGAGAGCAGGGAACCGGATCGAACTGTCGAGATGTATGTGTCGCCAGCAGAACTGGTTCGAATCATGCCATTGTTTTCGATGCCTGCAAGAGACAGGTCGTAAAGCCGTCGAGCTTCGGTGTCATTGTAGCCAGTACGGATCCACTCCTTCAGGAGGTATTCAAAGAAGGAGTCACCGAGACCACCAAGGGTAGAATGACTTATGCAGTAGCTCGGCCTATCGAAATTGACATAACTGTGGAATAGGCCGTCTGGGCGAGGGATTTCTGCGATAGCAGAGCGAATTCTGTGCACCTGGAAAAAGCCGAAAAAAAGAGTAGACAATAAAGCAACTGAGTTTCGAAAAACTCCCTTTTGTGTTGGTGAAAGTACCAATCAGGACTAAAGAATGCACTGTGAACACTTGCAGACATTCAAGTTATCTAAGACAAGGAGCAGAGAAGACGTCGTCTCAAACGGCAAATTCATGAGAAATATGACGAGGGGTGTCAGTCTGCTGATGCTTCGAAATTTGAGTTAATGAAGCATGCTCCCGTATAGATTTTTTTCTAGATCTGAGATGCCGCAGTTGTGTCACACAAAAATGGGCGTCGTTAGACTTTTGACATGGCTTATAGCCAGTGCGATACTATCTCAGCCTTTCCTGATGTCCTCGCCTGTCGCAAAAAAGTATGGTGACATAAAAATTAAAGTATTCAGGAAAGTGATATACAAAGATCCATTTGCTGAGCATCAACAGCAACCACCCAATCACTCACGAAGGCAGTGGCATCAGAGCGCTGATATCGACTTGTGCTGACGCATTTCAAAGAACCAGATGACAGGGTTGTCGAAGTGCAACTCATTTTAGGAGACCCGGCCATATCTTTGACTTTGAGGAGACGGGCACGCTCGCAAGGCCTGACAACCGCGTGAACTGCGAACTGCTTGAGGTGACAGTCTCGTTTCGAGCTCATTACGCTTATTTTGTACAACACCAGACTCATTTCGTAGTAGTAGTAGTAGTAGTAGCAGCAGCAGTAGTAGTAGTAGTAGCAGTAGTAGT